GTGTTCATCCAGCCCTGCACCTTGTTGTCTTAGAGATGAAACATGTTATTTTGGGTGATTATGGCCATGATGCCATAGAACTGCACTAAAATGCCAGCCTGGAATGTGCATATAAAGCCCAGGACAGGACTGAACCACCAACTTGCTGATATACATGAGAGCATACAATGAATTGCTGCACGCTGTATCCTTGTATAAAATACAAGAATAACAGCTATCAACAAGGGTTCCAATCCAGGGATTCCTGTTGATAATAGATTTGTGTGCAGAGAATTGAACTCTGCTATGTTTGCACTACATGTTAATACTTTGTCAATGACATACTCCAAATTCTCACATCAGACAGAACCATGAGGTTCTGAAGAGTGCTTGGAACCTGATGGGTCATGCCTTTGCCTGAGTTAAATCCTTCAGAAGGAAAATGTAGTGAATGGTACTAAAACAAAAGGGCAGAAAGGAAAGGGAAGTTCTGCACAGTTAGCAGGTAGTATTTTTCTGTGTAGTTGCAGACTAGACCAGGCTGTAATCACAGTGGAGCCTCTCCAATATGTCTGCCATTTTGTGCATGGGAAATTGTGGCTAACAAACTTGATTCAGTTTTTTGAAGAAGTGACCAAAAAAATAGATGAAGGCAGAGTGGTAGATGTTGTCTATATGGACTTTAGCAAGGCTTTCAACAAGGTTCTGCATGGTAGACTGGTTAGAAAGGTGAGATCACACGGGATCCAAGCAGAGCTAGCCAATTGGATACAAAATTGGCTTGACAGTAGGAGACAGAGGATGGTGGTAGAGGGTCGTTGATCAGACTGGAGGCCTGTGATCAACAGTGTGCCACAAGCATCGGTAGCGAGAACCCGAATAGGCTAGGACCTTTTTCACTGGAGCATAGTAAGCTGAGGGGTGACCTTATAGAGGTTTATAAAATCATGAGAGGCATGGATAGGGTGAATAGCCAAGGTATTTTCCCCTAGGTAAGGAAGCCCTAAACTAGTCAGCGTTGGTTTAAGGTGAGAGGGAAAAGATTTAAAATGGACCTGAGGGGCAACGTTTTCACATTGATGGTGGTGTGTATATGGAATGAGCTGCCAGAGGAAGTGGTGGAGGCTGGCACAATTACAACATTTAACAGGCATCTAGATGGTACATGGAGAGGAAAGGTTTAGTGGGATGTGGGCCAAATGCTGGCAAATGGGACTAGGTCAGTTTAGGAAACCTGGTCGGCATGGATTAGTTGGGCTGAAGGGTCTGTGTGCTGTATGACTCTATGACTCTATGACGAGATGCTGAGGCCTAACATGGTGAAGATCTAAAATAATCTAAAGGCATAAATACATCTGTACATGAGTGCAAATAACCATGACCAGGAAGGATGTGAGGTTATTGTTTTTATCTCCCTCTTTTGAAATGTTTGTAGGTTGTGCACTGCTGTTGATGGATACAGCTACGCTCCACTAAACTCACCACTTGCAGCAGCACAATGTTTTCTCGCAGAGCCCCAATGCAGCCACAGAATGTAATTAAAAACATAACAGCTCCAACCACAATCATAATTATCGCAGGGTCAATGACAAAGGTATCCCGCACGGCATCTGTGTGAGAAAACCAGAGTAAATCCTGACTTTGTGCAAAAAAGTTCAAAATGGATGATGATAAGTTGACAGTTCATTTCATATCTCTCTCCTTTGCTACAGTACTCCGATTGAGTTCAATACAGATCAAGGTAGTTAGCAAGGAAACCTGCTTTCAATAATTCATCTGGCCTATATATAGCTCTGGATCTCTCTTAAAGGCCCTCTAATGTGACGTAGTTTTGAATATAATACCATTGTATCAGGCCACGCTGGACAATAAATATCAGTCAAGGTAATGATACTCAGATTTGAAGAATTTACTATTTTAAATCTGAGAATCTCCATCTTAAGCAGCTTTTTTTCTCAATGCTTCAGTGACTCTAACAATATCATGACCCATCACCCCCAAGTTGGTCCATAGACAAATCTCATGAGATAGCATGCCCAATCACATTTACTGAAATGCCTTCTTTCTCTCACTGTAGTTGCCTATTTTATCAGCATTGCCCAATGCCTCTGACTTTCTTCAGGATTTCATAGCCTGGAATATTTAACTCATGATTGTTATCAAGGTGTGCTACCTGAAATATTAATTTAGATTAACATTGATTGGACATATATCTATGTTGTGGACATTTTGGGAAGAAAGGAGACTGGTTGCAGCAGGGAAAATGTTGTATTTGTGCAGAACACAAGCTGCTTGACTGGAGTCACTAAGTCTACAATACTTTCAGAAAGAGGTCACATGACCCAGTTTGAGGGTAAAATAAAGCTATTGGATTTGATCACGACATTCAGAGAGATAACCTGTTTGCAGCAACAGCCTTTGCCCTTTCTTTTCTCTGAACCCATCACATCAATGATTTACAGTTGAAAACCCACTAGAAAGCTTTACTACCACAAGTGGAATATTCCTAAATGAGAATTCAAAATCTATACCACTGTCTCCAGAAAAGGGAATTCTGCCACCATACCTGATCCAGAAAGACCCCAGTGCCAAAAGCTTGTGTGGAAATGACTTCAGGTACAGTTCACCATTTGGACAATCTGTGAGTACTTATTTTCCTGAATATAACTCTTATTTGGCCAAAGTATTTTAAGATAACATTCTGCAGAGTTCTTATATTTTTTCCAAACTGGGTAATGAGGCAGATTTCCCCCACTAAACGAAATAGTGAACCAGTTGAGTTCTTATGACAATTGATGAGATTCTCATGGTCACCTTTACCAAGGCTAGTTTTGAATTCCAGATTCCACGACATGTCCCTGGCCTCTGGACTATTAGCCCAGTGTCACTATAGTTGTGTATACTTGCACAGTTAAAATGTTTTGTTCATAAATGTTTTGCTTTGTTTTCAATAAAATGGTTCTTTGTTTGTTACTTAAGGAACATGGTTGAGTTGCTTCTGATACTGAGCTGTATACAGTCTGACACATGCATAGCAATATCAGCTCACTCTGTAGATTCAATCATTTGTGATAACCAGTGGGGGAGACAGACAAGGAAAGGAATTGATTCATGTCTCCTAACTGGGATGTAACACAATCATGCTCCGGTTATAGCTAGTCTCTAGCATAACTATTACATCTTAGCCTTTCAGCCAAGTTTATACTTCTAACTTGTTTTATTTCATGAGCTGTATGTGCTTGTGAACAGAATTCTACTTGAGTGACTGTCCTCAACTTGCACAAATGTTCCACCAGTCTCACACTTGCATTACGAGGGCAATCAAAAATCCCGAAATCGTTCCAGAATTACTTGGACAGTGGGCTTGGGGACTGGAGGAGTGCTTAATGGATGCAATCCAATTTCAGATATCAAACCCCTTCCTATTTAATATAAAAATCAAAATATAATGTAGGTAACCATTCTTTACCACGTAGTGGGTTGGAGGTGCTTCTCAATGCATTTACAGTATTTGAAAGGTGTGGATCTTTGAAATTCATGTAAGATATGAATTTACCAAGTGTGGAAGCTTCATATACTTAGGAGATATACAGAACCGATAAAGCTGACAGTCATTGGGGGAGATAATCTCCTTGCATTTAGCATGAGTATGGAACTCTTACAATTCATCTTTCCTAAGCAGTAAAAATGAAAAGAACTGCGGATGCTGTAAATCCAGAAACGAAAACAGAAATTACCAGAAAAGCTCAGCAGTTCTAGCAGCATCCATGGAGAGAAATCAGAGTTAACATTTCAGGTCGAGTGCCCCTTCCTCAGAGGAAGGGTTCTGAGGAAGGGTCACTCGACCTGAAACATTAACTCTGAATTCTCTCCATAGATGCTATCAGACCTGCTGAGCTTTTCCAGCAATTTCTGTTTTTGTTACCTAAGTAGTACATGCTCAAGCAAATGCAAAGCTGCTAACACTGACCCTTCATTGATAGGATGCCCTGTATACCTATCAAGTGTAAACAGAATTACTGTATCTGGCTATTGCTGGTATATGCGTAGGAAACAGGAGTCATTGCAAAGTGTATATCCTTGGAAATTGCCAATTGTTCAGGCATTGCTTTGAACAATTCCAAATCTCTTGTCCATGCCCCTGTCACACAGAGAAAAGAAAGTTTCTCATCCACCTGTGGCTTTTTGAATCTTTGCATATACTCCAATGGCAACAATCACCAGTGAGATGATCTGCAAGACAAAATAAAATACATAAAGAATCATATTAACGTTAAAAGTTAACATATTGATGACCTGTGTTCATTCAGTCAAACTCACTTTTTTTTAAACAGTTTTTAAAAAGTTTAAAAAGTTTTTTTGTAGCATTTAAATTCTATCAGCAAAGAACAAGATAGCAGATCGTTGCATTGCACCCAGTAATTAGTACTTTAAAATGAAGATACATAAACATTATGCCGTACGACACGAACAATACAGCACAGTGAGGGTCACACAGCGCATGAACCTCTCTGAATATTTATAGCCTGAAGCGCATACCAGGGAGTGAATGTTTCTTTAAGTGATCCCCAATCCTTCCAGTTTTTACACTGTAGTATATGACTCACAGATGAAGGAACATGCCTCCCGGACTAACCAACCTTTACTATGTCAAAGCTCCAAACACTGATTGCCCTGTGTAATCTATAGCACAGATGGATGTCATTTGGCCCTCATTGAAAGACCATCTATGGGCCCTTGAAACTCCCGATTCTGCACTTTGACGGGAAAGGGCCAGTTCTACATATCTCTTGAGGTACAGATCTGGTTCCTTTGAATTGGAATATTAACTCCACAAGCTAACCGATCCCTGAACATTTCCCTAAAGTGCTGGACCCATCCTCACAGCACTCCACCAATTTCCGCAGTTTCATCCAGAATTCAGTAACTGGTTCCCCAGCAAGCCTATTAGCCATGTTGCAACATAACGTGTAACGTATTGCTGCAATATAACAGATTTATTGAGATCATAGTGATCTGCTACCAAATCTATCAGTTCATCAAGGGATTTTGTCTCCGGGTCTGGTGGGTAGGTTAAACTCTTTATGAGTTTGTGGGGCCCCACAAGTGGTCAGGAGAATGACTGTTTATCAGTGATGCCCTTTGATCCTATTTGCCTGAAAAAAAATACTCTCACCCTTTCCTCCACACCCACATCACAAGATTCCAGTTTCCCAAACAGCAGCATTTTCAATATTTCCCCATCACAGTCTTATTGTTTTCATTGGAAAGCAGGGCTGGCTGAAGCATTTCTTGACTCTAGTCACCAATGTAAAAACTCAGGAAACCCGACCAGAAAGGAACATCGTTTATTGTTGAACCCCAAAACAGACCCACTACTTATACATGGGTTAGTCCCAGCCCAGACAGAGAGTTCTACAGACTCACCCCTAGGTCTGCTTTATCTTATTTTTTAACTCAGAAGTACTATTATGCACAAATAAGCAATCTTCCCACCACCAAAATCTCCTTCACTTCTGTTTTGCTTTTTTTTTGAAACTTATAACCACCAGCAGTAAAAACACACATGTAACCAATTAACTATTTACAAGCAAAGCCCATTATGGACAATTTCAACCATCAAAGGTGGGGCTGCTTTATCCTATTTTTCTAATCAACCTATTCAGAAATGTTACTACACATGTCTAGAGCAGGTAGAACTTAAAGGGCTCAGGTGATGAGTTCTATCTGGGCAAGCCATTGCCTGTTACCAAGGGAACTCATACTCAATGAGCTCCACAGGGAGATAAGATAATAATTTCCAGTGGGCCTTGTAGAGATTATCACAATTATCAATTCCCTCTTGAATGAACCTGCCCTCACCACACTCTTAGGCATTCCAGATCCTAAGCACTCACTGTGAAAAAAAAATTGCCTCATGTCACCAGTTTGCCAATCGCCACAATCTTACTGTCAATCCTTTCACCAATGGGAGCAGTTTCTCCTTATCGTTTCTGTCAATTTTGAATATCTCTATCAAATCTCCTCTCAACCTTCTCCAAGAAGAAAAGTGCAAATCTCTCATTCTTTCTGCGTGACCCAATTTCCTCATTCTTGGGACCATTCTCATGAATCTTTTCTGCCATTTCCTTAATACCAAAAATTTGCTTTGCCAAGGTACTTAAAATTGATTCCTTTACATTTATCCACAATCATCTCTGTTGAATTATGATGTTCATTTACTTTTGAACCTTTTTTTTGTTCACTACTCCTAACTCTTGATAATTACCTCATGGAATCTCAGAATTATTTTAGCACTGAATGAGATCATTTCCCCATTGCCTCACTTATCTGTGCATTCTGATCCTAAATACTGACATTGAATGACTTGTCAACAAAGCAAGGCATCACAGCTCTGTTTGTTACTGTCCTAGATTATTATTCACATTTATGCACTTTCTGGGGTAAATAACTTGAGATGCTCTAGTGTACTGTTGGTGATTCCAAAAGCAGCAATTGATAGACTGAAAGCAGAGTTTATTCCCTCCAGCCCCACTTTTTTTTAAAGTTAATTCTTTCACCCGATGTGGACATTGCTATAAATGAAAAGTAGCAGGCTCAGTTCTCCAAATTCTCCCATTGGGCCAGGATGGCAGCTGCTAGTTTTTGGACAGGACCTTCTGCAAGGACTGCTTAAAATTGTCCAACCAACAGAGTCACCCTGGATTGTTCTACAGCATCACAGAGTTGTAACAGCGCAGAAGGGGGCCACTTGGCCCATCATATCTGTCTGTATGAACATTTCACTTAGTCAATCTCCAGCCTTCCCCCATAATCCTGCATGTTTTTCCTTTTCAAAGGACAGTCTAATCCCCTTTCGAATGTGCTATCACGCCACACTCTCTCTCAGTGATCTAAGGCAATGCATTCCAGGCCATAACTATTGGCTGCATGTTGCTTTGGCTTCTCGTGCCAGTTATTTAAAACCTTTGTCCTCTCATTCTCAATTCTTTAATGACTACTAATATTTTCTCCCAATTTGGCCAGGCTCCTCATGATTTTGAATGCTAAGTCATGGATGTTCTTATGTCTCTCACAGCTCTGGTATGGATGGGTCCTCAGTTTTCCCTCTTCTCCTATTCACAGAAAGTCTCCTCGATGTCAGATGTTGTTGCACAACAGTTCCTGGCATAAAACCACAAGCAAAGATGTTCAACTACACAGGTCTCAACCTTTCCAAGGTAAACTGTTGGTCAGGCTAGGGTGATCAAGTATCATTTGAAGATGATACATGGTTGAACATCACATGGTCAGAATACATCATGATCAAAACTCTAGAAAAGACTCCAGTGACACTACATAAGGAGTAAGATACACAAGTAAGTACAGCAGGATAGTTGGGCAGAATACAGTCACTTTAGTCACTTCCACTGCAATTGGAAAATGGCACCTAGTGAGATAGAGTCATAGTCATAGAGGTCTACAGTATGGAAACAGGCCCTTCAGCCCAACTTGCCCATGCCACCCAGTTTTCGCAATTGAATTAGTCCCATTTGCGTGCATATGGTCCATATCCCTCCATATCTATCCCATCCGTATACCTGTCTAAATGTTTCTTAAATGATGAAATTGTACTCGCTTCCATCATTCAAGAGAAACTGAATACAAAACATATGTACAACAAAGGAAACTTGCATTTCTCTAGCAGCCATTCATGACTTCAAAACATTCAAACTAAAATTCAAATTTTACAATGTAGTGTAATGCAGGAATTACAATCATTAAGAATTGTTGCACAAAATCACTTTAAAGCAACTGGTCAAAATAGGCATTTAACAAACTGTAAAGATAAAAATATCAGAAACTGCAAGGAGATGTATTTTAATGTGTGTGAAATGTGAATAGATATCTGAGCCTAAAGCTGATCCTGGCAATGCCTTACAGCATGGATGCAAGGAACAGTGAATTGCTGGTTATGTAACTGTTTGACCTGTCCGGCTTGTTTGGGCTAAAATTAGCTTGGTTCTTCGAAGATGTTCAACTTGTGTAATTCGTCCCCTCAAGATATACTTTTATTCATAAAATAAGCAAAGATTCAAGACAAGATAATACAACTGTTATGGTTTTTAAAGTGTATTGCAAGTTAATTTGCTTCAAAGCAATGCACACCATTGTATGGTAAGCCCTGTACCCACCCCTACAATTACAATGGACAATGGAGATTTAATCTACATTTGAACATTTTCTGATGCATGTAATTACTTGTGGGAATAAGGGCAAATTGAACAATCTGAAAATATTGCTACGTCAGTGAGTCTCATAGTCACAACTCTGTTTGTTGTTTTTAATGGTGGCTCATTGTTTGTATAAATGATGCATAAATTGGTCGATAAACGGTACTGAGCGCAGTAAAAGCAGTGTTTGCAAATTCACAATTTAGTCTCAGCCATTTAGCTCGAATGCAAAGCACAAAAAGAATGAGATTAACTCAGATGAAATATTTTCACAGTCCAATGAACATGGCGCCACAGAAAAACAGTAGTCCAGACACAACTGCGAGCAATACTCAGTTTTAAAATGCTATCCTGCATTCTTCTGCATTTTTGCTGACAGGCAGCCAGACTCAGTAGATATTTGAGGAAGATTTTGAGCCCAATAATAAGGCAGGTTTGGGTTGGTTAAGTATTAAAGAGTTGAATCCTGATCCCACTTGCCCTCCTAGTTAAAGGTCGGTAGGCATTCAACAAAATAGCTCCATCTGGAGTTGTTGGCACTTTAAATGTTATCATGAAGCTGCATGCCTTGTTATACATTCATCATTTGAAACTGAATTCTGAACAACTCAAACTTCAGGCAAGCAGCAAGCTACAAGCTTGAGATGTAAACATCTTTCCACATATCATCAGGGTTCATTTTGTCTTCCTGACCAACACCCTACAATCAGATACTTCCCTCCTCAAAGAAATTGTGATCTTCCCTCTCCCCAATCTCTCTTCAACTTCTAGCAAACAAGGTCTCCACCCTTTCCTCACCATTGGCTTCCAATCTAACCTCCCTATACCCCTCTTCACCCCAAGGCCCATGTGCCAGTGAAACCTACTACATCAGCATCTCTGCTCCCTCTGTCTTTGTGTGCTTAAATCATTGGCCAGTTATTCTCAATGAAAGACATCACACAAAAGCCAAACCCTGTGGTCACCTGATTTTCATGCTAGCATGTAATATTCCAGCAGAAATTACTGGACAGTAGTTGT